TCAGCCACTGGTCAAATCTTCCAAAGAAGCCAACTGCGGTGAGACTATTACTTATCTATCCACATCTGCTGTACAATTCCATATTGATGTTTTTCAATATATAGCATCCTGGCAACAACTTGAAATGACGGATAACGATAAGTCTAGTATTAATATAATAGACTCCGATGTACGCGTAACGAATCTTAGGCGTCTTTCATTGGTGTGACGATATATTCCACGCTTTATTCGAGAACTTTCCCAATTAACTATTTTCCTCACTGACCCGGTTGCTTGGTAGGGAACGCATACGCATTACCGTCTACCACCCAGCATCAAATGGTTTAGTTGAACGGTTTCATTGCCAACTTAAAAGTGCTCTACGAGCACACGAAAACGACAATTGGTACGAAACCTTATCGCTCGTCCTCTTAGGTATCAGAACGAGCTTAAAGGCAGATATCCAATGTCCCGCCGCTGAACTTGTATACGGCACGACATTGCGTCTGCCTGAGAAATTTTTCACACCACGGAGCAGACCTGATTTCGGTAAATCAGACTACGTCCAACGACTGTCTGCACTTATGCGAACGATGTCTCCGGTGTCAATTCGAATACAACATCGACAGGTCGCTCTCCGTCGAGAGTTATCTACCTGTTCACATGTTTTCATTCGAGTAGATTCGGTACGCGAACCCCTGCAACAGCCTTACGAAGGACGTCTTCACGTGATTTCTCGTCATGAAAAGACCTTCAAGGTTAATCGACATGGCCGTGTCAAGATCGTCAGCGTTGTTCGTCTCAAACCAGCACACGTCGATGACAGTGCCCTTCTTGATAACTTGAGACCCAATGCTAGACCTACCAAACCTACTGGCGGATCCCTACATCTACTTCAGATCGCACGCTAGATACGTCAGAGACCTCATCCTCAAATCCCGGTCAACGGCGCGTGTCATCTGCACCATCTACAGACTTCAGTCTCACGTCCAGATCAGCAGACCACGCCGCCCTTGACTTCGGATGAGATTGCAGGCTCATGAAGTACGACGTTCCGGTCGCCGAGTTTCCACCATAGGTGGGCTGATGTATATGTTGAAAAAAGGATACACAAAGTAGGGATAAATTAGAGTATATAAGTGTCCTAGTATATAAAAAAATAAAAATGAATATTATCGAATGGATATGAGTTGTCTGAGTTTTAACATTATTTCCAGTAATTTTTTAATAATAATAAGTAATATTTTAAATGGGCAGGTAGCGCATTGCCTCACTTCATCTTTGTCCGTCTGTGTCGCCTAAGAGAATTCTTGAAATCTAGATCTCTAAAACACTTGCATTTGACTTATTCAATTAGTTAAGATACAAACGAAGTTAACGAGGATTTATATTTTGTTAGCATCATCAATGAAAACAGAGGGGAACGAAACACTACATAGATTTTCAACGTAAATCCTGTGGAGACCAAATTTGCAAATAAGTAATTGAAAATTTAGTACTTCAACCCATCACAACCAGTCATTTGATAATAACGTTATGATGAGCAGGTCAATTTAGTCACACGAATATAAACAAAAATTATGTCGAATGTGAGGGACGTAGGTAACACAGCTCTTTCAGTTTTAACATAATAAACTGAGTTGACTGAACATAATCCTCCAGTTCAAACCCTCATCTTAATAGCAACTTACATTTAAAAGCTGGATAAAAAGACACCCGTTATCAACAATAAAAAATGACTTCGAATTAACTAAACTGACAGGTTCAATAAATGACTTCTACTTGTAAAGTCCCCGATAACAGGAAAAGAGTTGCTGACTGAGATCCATTAAATGCATAAAATGGTGTAAATAATTTTAGTGTTCATGGGAAAAGGGTGAACAAACGGTACAACGAAGTTAATGACATTTCAAACGGAAAACTGAAAGGGTGACAATGCAGAAGTTGAATCCAAGTTTGTACAAAATAACTTCAAGGAAAGTATCTGTAACATTGTCTTAAAGAATGAAACTTTCAATTGTACAAAATGCTGTTGTGACTTTAAGGTCAGCTAGTTATTACGTAATTGATTCGCCAATCGAAATACGATTTATTCACTCTTGTACTGTTTTAATCCAATGACGTTTGACTGGTCTGACCAGCCTAGCGTACTTATTGGTCGTTGCTTGCTTAGCCCATCCAGTTGAGTCCAGAACACCAATAACAGCTTCCACTAGGCGAATCATTTATTTCAGACATACTTGGTTTATATACCAGCCAAACAGACCGCATCACAGCATAAAATAGGAAATAACATTTATACAAAATCAAACCTAAAAGTGGTTACGAACGTGGGAGTACAACTTAAATCGTACAATAATAATCTATAGGTCAAAATGAAGCTTATAATAAGAGGAATATGGATATATACAATCTAGGTACTGCATAGTTATACAATAACAATACATATAAAATATTAGTTCATTAGGATTTAACAAAAGCCACTTAAGAATGAAATACAAATTTATTTTTAGTTTACACAATTCAATGGTAAAACCTGTATATCCAGTGCGGAAAGTGACTGACATGAGAATTATTTGCCACGCTTCCTTAGCAAGGTAAGGTTGTAATCGTTTACATATACAACTACTCAGAACTTATCATAAACGCTTTAAAATTTTACTACAGACATAAGCTTTAATAGATATTTCAGAGTGATAATCTATTCTAATTCATTGTAAAACCCGTTAGTTATACCAGCTAATGTTAACTGGACCAAATTTTCTTACAATACTTTGCACTCCCATAAGATTATATACTTCCTGTAGAGGGACAGTTCGAAAAACACAAAAATTACTCTTATACGTATGACATGTAAAAATTGACAACACTTAACTTTTACAACCAAACATTGTGTGAAATTCTAATTTAACACCCGTCAAAAGTTTTACATTGAGTTAGGGCACAGTAGCTCTGTCACTATATCAGAAGCATAACGGCGAGGCTATAATTTATGGACGAACTTTGAACGAATCTCAAGTGACCTTGAGGAATTTTAGTCAATCAGAAAACAGTCGGTATAGAGTAAGAATATATCATACAAAACCAAAAAAATCAGAGTGAACACACTTCTTTAACATGTTTTAGAAAATTTCCAAGGTCAGGAAGTTTATGCAGTTCGGAAACCGTAATTTATGCGATACAGGATCTCATCCATGTAACCCCACACTAGTCGACCTCTTTTAGCCTCGACAACATTGCTTCTATATTGTTTGTGTGTACTTTGGTGGTAGTCTACAAAATGCCGCTCATGGACGACGACACGATGCACGTAACCCAGTCTGTGTAACCACCGACATGCTCTCCAGTCATACGCGTATATTGTGATTCTCGGTTGCACATACTCTCGTATGTTTGATATTGTAGCTGTAGCTTTTCGGTTTCTAACGCGCTGGAAGTGCCCTTTTTGAGATCGTCTATCATATATACTAAGGATCTGTTAAGTATATTTAAGGAAATGCTACTTACCCAGTCTTCATTAACACTTCATCCTCTATTGAATTTGCATATTCTAACGACAGTTTCGTTTATTTCCACGATTCTGCCAACTCCTTCCAACGATCCATGCAAGCTTGTCACTTTTATTGCAAATATATCTCGACAATACTCATTCCATTGAACTGCCGAAGCTTCGGTATCATCTGCAAAGGTTGCAGCCAGTGTTACTGGTGCTTTTGTTATTCAGTTTGCAACAGCTATCATAATCTGTCTTAGTTTCAATCGGGATCGAGCGAAAAAATTTCTTTTCCTAGCAGACTTGCCTCCAACATATATTACATCGAAATACAACATCACGACAGTCTGCACAAGGTCGAAGAGTCATTTGACTACCGAGATGATAAATAAAGGAACTTTTTAGTAATCGCATTTATTGCAGCCGCCCAGTTAAAACGTCTTTAAAATCAGGCATTGAAATAATCACCGTGACCTTTAGATCGCCCAAACCCTTCTGTTTGGCTAGTCCATCAATTACAGTCTCATCAGAATAACTAATAGAGCTTCACTGTTACCGATATCATGATTCATTCAGAGAGAAACATTAATTTTGATTTTCACCAGCGATTTTAATACTTTAAGCAGTCGATGGAACTTACGATTACGACTGTTCTTACAAATAAACAGTCACTGTAGGCACAATATTTGTGAAAACTCGCCTACAAACTTACAGTCGGAATATCCTACTCCATAATATACATCGATCTTTAATACAATTAACCCCACCGAAAATCGAATCAACCGAAGATATGTATGACTGATAACGTAGCAATCGAAAGACGAATTCGAGAAAAAGCCTGCTGATAGATATCAAGTTTCTAAGTGAAAGGATAACCGACAAATTATCATCTACTGAATAAAAACATTTTACATTAACTGAAAACGAACTGCATGTTTTGAGAGGTGGTCAACAAAAACCGAAGAAATCTAACATTCGACAACAGCTGCTTCATCCAAACAGAATACCCGTGTGTCTTTACACAACAAAAAAGACAGCTGCAACGCAGTAAAGTACGGTATTAGATTAAAATCTTAATTGAATGATATATATTCAATGTCACACAGGTGCTATGTGAAAGCATCATCTATACAAATCTCATAAGTATATTTTGAAAAGCAAACATGTCGGTGGCGTTGAGTGATTAATAATTCACGGTTATCATTAGCTTCGAAAAGAATGAGATATCTGTCACTATTTTCACACAGCAGTAAAGAAAATGAATTCTACAAGAAACGACTTGTCTTATATGTTCTAGCACGTCAAATAACTATATAGACTTAAATGTTTTATTCTAGTTATGATCGACGTAGCTTCGTCGTAAAAGGTTTAAAAACTGTGAAGTTGCTGATAATTTATTCAGTTTTGAAGATAGAGGTATTACTACATTATCATCGGACCTAGACATACAAACAAAATTAAGAGAAAATTAGAAACTGTACAAAGGTGTAAGTTGAAACACCGTCTGTGCAAAGCAATGAGAAATATGTTATTTCCGCTTTAAGCTTCTGGAGGCTGAGTCTGACGAATGTACCTTTTTTCTGGATGGTGACGGAGTCCGAGAACGATGCGAATGTCGATTGTGGGCTGCTACTGGGTCCGGACTTCGTGAACGGTGTCGTTTGCGACTCTGTAAAAGATAAACAAGTCAGAAATAATGACAGACCAAAAGTTTATTAACATAGTTAAAAATATAGCTAACCATCCATCTCCAAATGAAAGATAATCAGGCATTTAGCGATTCTGCCTTTACTTTATCAAGGTTTAATGCTAGAAAAGATAAAATTTTGCAGTTGTAACTTAAACATAATCATATTTAGTCGTACGGTGTTTTTATGGGCTTCTTATCCAAACTATATTACAACAGAATGTCAGGACTATTGAGATTTAATACCTTAATGCATTGTGTGCCTATCTACCTCAGTAAAACCGATAAATATAAACATATATTAAAGTGTTCACAATATCAAGGCCAGATATTCACAAAATATTCAGCTTATTTGAATAGTATCGAATAACTACGGTAACTCAAATTTTTAATAAACATTGTATGTGAGGACAATATGAAAAAGTTGATAATCATACAATAGTTAAGGTAACCCAATTAAAGTTCTGCTAACCGATTTATGTGGAACATGTTTTTTCTTCGGAGTAATGGAATGGGACTGATTTGAAGTAAATGCCGCCGCGTCATCATCCTCGGTGGCTTCTCCTTCTTCCACATCTTCTAAATGTGTTGAGTAGTTAATTTCATCTTCTGTCGAGTCAGGCTCCCAAGCGGAAGCAGATGTCCTCCGACGTTCGCTGGAGTTTCGTGAGTCCATTCGCATAGAAGGGCTATTATAAGTACTCCAGTCTCCAGGACCCAGGCTCCCAGAAGGAGAAGCATGACGTCGGCGAGGGCGATCACGATCACGGAATGAACGCGGAGGTGAACGATCCCTTGAATTCCTTCGTGTAGGGGAAGATGACATATCACGACCTCGCGACTGATATTTCGATTGATGAGGTGTCAGACCACTTTTCTCCTTAGCACTTTTGGATGGTTTGGATTTGTTGCGATGAACAGATTTATGTCCTTTTTTATGTACAGAATGTTCATTTTCTACAAGGCTTTCTAAAAGGCGTTCTCTGTAACGTTGAATTTGCTGCAATAAAATAAAATAATTTAAATAAGAATCACTGCTTTAATTAATAGTGGAAAAAATGAGAAGTCACTAGTGGATAACAAGCACAAAAAACTACGTAGTAGTGTGAATCTCATACAAACCAACGTGATTAAATTGACCTTCGGCTGCAAATAACTCTGAAAGCGTGTGAATAAATGGTCTGAGAATGAGACTTTATTTAGTTAGTAAACAGAGATGAAAGTACGTTCCCCGAAATAGTTACAACATAAATGTTTACAAACGAACGCTGATCTTAAACTTCTATGCATTTACAGGTAATATATAAAGATTACAAGACCAAGGAACTTCAAGTCAGTGTTGAGAAAAATATTTCATGGCATACTATTGCTTAATTAAAAGTTCCTAACAAATCTTATGTATCAAAGTTATTATGATGTCTGAACGTGTTCAAATGAAATCGAAAATGACAGAAAATACAAGAAAGTCTTTAATCTAAGTATGATTACTTACTGTTTACGGTAGATAAAAAAATACTGTGAAGCATAAAGACAAATGTGTACCGACAGAAACCACTCTTTATTTACCTTGTTTATAGCTTCATCCGTAATTGTTTTATCTCCTTTACGACTTGCCTCCAACTCATCTTGATACTTTAATACCTTGAGTTCTACTTCTCTTAAGATAGCGCGACGCTCTTCAGAAACAGGTGTCGTTGTCGAAGTACTACTAGGTGTTGAAGAAACGTGAGAAGTCGCGGAAGTTACGGGAGTTGGACAAGGAATTTGAGAAACTGGTACAGGTGAAAAACTAGATTCGCTCGCACCTGGACTGGCAGCATCTTCGTCATCATAAGCCACAAGTCCTCCTAAAATGGGTAATGGTCTAAAACAAAATACGTAAACAAAAAATTTCTATCACTAAAAGAGCCAGATTTAAAAGAAAATAACGTGCCAACTTATTTCCCAAGAAACTAATTCGCATTTGCAAAAGTACTACTAAAAGGTACTAGCAATAAACATAAAATTAAAAATTATGAAGTAATAAATGAAATATACATACGTATGAAAATCGCCCACTGTGAGAGATGACTGATATTTAGTTTCCAAAAATTGTGCTGGTAAAGGAAGCTTTGAAGTCACGATCTACATAGGAAAAGTTGCTGGGCCACTGAAACTTAGTGTAACGCTGTTCAGAGAATCAAATAAATACCGACTAAAAACTAAAATTCAGTAACGAGTTTAGTGCAACTAGGTTATTAAATTTAAGACCATACAGCAAGGCTGACTAATAATTATTTATGATAAGATTCCAGTTAGTACTTTTAAACGAATTCAATAGTTCATAATTTCGTAAGAAATTATGCGAAAAGGTGGAACGCCAGATTTGAACCCCTTCATTATCTACCTTATCTTCAAAAACGTACCAAGTATTTGTACAGTTGTTTCAACTTAATTATTGCTTTATGTTCAATCAGTCATAATCAAACCTATGTTCAAAAATCCCTGATATTAAGTTATTAGTTAAATTGTTTGTTGATATGACAGGGAAAACTAATAATTTGAACTTTGCAGCTCATCTTAGAATCACAAAATGACAGACAATTGGTCTAAAACATACACACTTTGAGTATGTTAAACATTTTCCATTAGGCTAAAAATATTAGTAACAGGGATTGTAGACTTGAAATCTAGCTATAATTTAAAAATGTATGAAAAAGTATCACTTACTCTCCGTCTACATCGTCGTCTACTTTATTTGTTGAAGCATTGTTACTCCATCGACTTGTATCAAGTGGGATTCCATTAACAACTTCAGAAGGAAGAAACGCCCCCTTATTTAAACCATTCGGCTGGTTTTGAAGGTGACTAGGTGTATTCTGCATGTTGTCACTGGACTTGGAGATAGTTTGGTCTTTTTTCGTATCTAAAACAGAGGTGGATTCCCATATACTTGCGACTGTTAATGCCTCTGGTTCAGTAGCTTCAACAGTTTCCCATTTGCTTGGAACAAATAAACGATTAGAAGTATCCCCAGATAGTTTTACTTCATCCTCCGTTGTAGTTGCACTGAGCTGAGAATTCTTAGGTCTATAGAAGGATTCAACAAATCCTTATTTATACAGAATTAAAACTAGATTGAGCAAAATGTTAGATTGCCCTAATGTATTCATATAAACGAAATAGATTTAATGATTGAAAGAGGTGGTTATCCTAGGGGGGCACACCCGGAGCGTTCGATCTAAAGGTCTGACCCGCAAGGCAGTGGAGAAAAAATAGTAAGGTTGCTTCGTGGTCAGATTCGAAACAAACGATAAATACTTATTGTTTGAGTTCAAAATGAAATATTCCACTAGTCGTAATATATATATACTCACCAAAAATAGATGAATTAGGGCAATAAACAGTAAGTGAATGATATAAGAGTACTATAACTCATATATTTCAAAAACCACAAGAACCAATACGAAGTAGTTATCACGCTGGGTTTTTAAACTGATAGAAACACAAGCGGAGAATCTCGCACAAAACTGCATCGGTCAGAAAGTCAAAAGAGCAAATAAAAAGAAAACCAACGAAAACGTTGAAGCGAAAATAATACGAGTCGAAAAGAGAAAACGGCGAGACGAAGGTTTACGGGAGATTCAATCAGATTTAAGATAGTGGGTCTTGGATTTTGGCGCGGAATTCATATATATGGCTAAATAGCATTTTTATAGCTGACGTTAGATCGTGATGAGAACCCTAACTCTAATTGTTAAACTGAAAGCCCAGCTGTTGTAATGGGTGGATTGCAGGTTAGATGCGCAGCGTTTTATCGATCGATCACAGTGACACGGAAAACACGTAGTGAACGACCTAGTGCCCTGATTGGTCCCGCTTCCCTGTCTAACCCAGCCAGTTGAGTCCAGAATGCAAGTCACAGCCTCTGAGATATGAATCGTTATATTTCAAACATACTCTGTTTATATACCAACCAAACAGACCACATCGTACCATAAAAATAGAAAACAACATCTGTACAATATTTAACGAGTGAAATAAATAATGGCCAATAGGGAATGCCCATTTAGAGTCCAAGGACATCATTAGACTTAACATGATAATGATTGGTATATTCCCCAGCATACCTAACACTAGCTGTGAATCCAAATCCCAATTCTTAACACTAATTTATAAGACTCATTTAACCGTAATAAGTAAATGGACATCCTGAAGGTCATTGCCCAAAGGTTGTCCATTAATTATACTCTCACCGAATAAAATGTCGAAGAGTAAATAAATTTGTGTCTCAGTGATGTTTTGAGCAATGCGACCACTGACTTTTAGTATCCTAGTCAAGAAACGCAAAATGGGGACCAGAAGTTTGTATTTTAATAACCTAACAACTTGTAATCTGATCAGTTTAACAATTCATATGTTTCAAGCCTGTATACACAATTTATTGTGAAAATAGTCGACCAAAATTGGAAGAGGAAAGGGTAGTAAAAAGCATAAAAATCTTTAGTGGCATACCGAACTGGTGAAGGAGACCGATCATCTTCATTATCTAAAGGACTACCATCAACATCCAAGGGATCTCCATCATATTGAACTAATGGTTGGCTTTCTAGAACCTCGACATCCGGATTTAAAAATCCTATTTTTTTTGCCAAATCTTGATTTTGCTCATCTTCAATCAAATTTAATGGAATACCCGACAGGTCGGCTTCATAGTCAACAGTCTAAAATGAATCAATGGATTTAAAAAGAACTTAGTCTATGTAAAGTATAAGGGTAATCTAATAAATTATCTCAGGTCATGAATCTGTAATTTTTGAAACGAATGGAACAATAAACTACTGATAACACAGTTGCTGCAAGCCATATTATGATTGTATTATAGATTTTCACCCACAACACTAGTTTTCAATAGGCTTGCCTTCAGTCATATAATCTCAAATACACACCATCGTAGAGTAGTTGTTGTGAATGATATTTCCGTACAATTTATTCTTAAAAATGACAAAAAATATTCATGTCAATGTTCTCAACAGAAAGCAGTAATTCTTTTTCAAAATAGCTATTTTTAGATCTGGATAGTTATTTAAATTCTGGCATAGATTTTTTACTGATGAATATAAATACTGAGGTCGAAACGATTTTAAACCGACATTATGAATCGCTGCGTATAAAGATTTCGATTATTAATTGGGAACTACAGTGTAACATATTGAAGTTTAAAATTGGAAATAAAAAATATGTAGCTTAGAAAGTTGACAACTACATCAAAAAGGGTCCCGAATCCAAATGTACAAATCTGTAATTGGTTACAGAAGTGCATCAAACTAGAACCAAACATTGATGAAGACGATGTCATATGTCAAAGAAAACTCACCTCCGAACCAGCCCAAGAATATATTCTGCAACTTGATGAGGAATTCATTTGGATATACGGCCCAATCTTCCCACGCACGGAAACAAAGCATGACTTTTTGCTATAGTTATGATGTATGTAATATGTGAAACATATAAGTTACCTTCAATTGTTCAGCTTTAAGTTTCCCCTCTACATTTTTATAATGTAAATTCAGGTTTTTGAACATATCTGGTAAGCAAGTTTCAAAACTAGATACAGAAATAATAAAATGAAATTGATTATCACCAGAGAATAAATTAACAGGAGGGGGACGCCAAAGCGGACCACCTTCAAACATTCGAAATTCTTCTGTACGCCATTTGGTTACACTTTCGCCCTTACACAATAAACATATAGACAAAATAGTAAATTCGAAGTATTGTGAAAAATAGTAATGAGATACCAAAGTTGTAAAATCACGACTTAGAAAAAGTTTAATGAAGATACTGTCAATGTCATCCAGGTTTATCGACACAGAATATACATTATGAGTGTAACTCAAAAAACAAATGAAAAAAACCCAAATATACACACTATCAGGTGAATTAGTATCAGTGAATAACAAAAGGCACTACTGATCACATTGAATTTGAAAGAAAATATTTCAAACTATATTCACCAAGCTGATAGTTTTGATAAAACTGTAGTACTGATAAACGAGGATTTCAAGGTATACATGTTACTTCAAAAATTCTGCTGACACAATCTGAACTGTTGTTTATTTGCGTTCTTTTCCCTAAGCTTTGTCAAACTGAAAACCCCACACTTCCATTTTCTTTTAGCTACCAATTATTAGTCCGATTTGACCACTTTATTAACTGTATTACAAAACTTATATGAATATTATCAAGTTACTGATATTTGCCTTTTCATGGGATAGTTTACAGAGATCAATCTTCGCTTAATACTTTGTGTGCAATATTGGATATAGATTGGAGCATCCATCTGTTCTGTAGCCAATGTTTCAAATTCATGCCTATATAAATGCAAGCACTTGATTCTGTAGCATGATTCGAAAAATATTCTCGACAAGATAAACTAACGTATGTAATTTACTTTTATCTCAGCCAGAAGATAAAACTTGTTTGACGTTTGACAAAATGCGCTACTGGTAACATCTGACGACCTACAAAAAGCTGAGTGTACTACACAACAGTTTAACTTACTTCACCTTAAGAATACTGGACATAGTTACTGAAATAAATTATTTGCCGTGGATTCGACTAATAGCTTTACATTTATCCAGAAGTGTTTGGTATAATAATTACTCTTGAAACTGTGATTCGAAACACATGTGGTGTAGGATATAAACACCAAGAGACAACATACAGAAAAAATTACGAAGTTGAAGAATAAAGAGTGAAACAAACGATAAGGAAGAGGTTACACAACAAACACTAAGGAAAGCTTCTTGATAGTATAACTTAGACAGTATTTTAGTGTTAGTTGAATAAATGTTTACAGATAAATGCTAAAGCTGATGATTATGGTTAAAATCAGTTCAACTACAGCTTTACGTAAAAACAAGATCTAAAATTTAAATAACATCATATTACTTCACGGTACTTTAGGAAACAATTGACTGGCAGTAGTGCTGACGGAGCTTCATGCAGATAGTTTATTACATTTACAAAAATGAAGAATAATATCAATAAGAATAGATCTAAATTTATCAAACCGTGCACTTATTTCCTAGAACACAGCAACTGAGAATTAGGTCATTAGCTGGACGTTTAATCACCACGAGAACTCGACGGTCATGGGAAGATTTAGTTTAAAAACTATTTTGTTATTTACGATAAATTAACTGATATTCGCTGGTAAAGTTTGATTCTCAAGAACCTGCATCTCTCGTATCGTACTAGTTTACCTAACAGTGTGGCAATATGCAATGTTAATAAAATAGAAATCCCCTATTTTTAACGCACATTAACGTTATTATTTATATAAACTGATTGTGTAACAATTTAGTCATGTCCATCAAGTAACTTTTCCAAAGTACTTTCTGATGATGCCCGTAACTATGGCTACAAATATTAGGTAAACGAACTGCAAACTTACATGTAGAACAGACCATAACTTCCAGCGATAGTATACATGATCCGAAGACTGATAATCAAAAAGGAATCTAAATAACGTATCAGTTAAGAGTATAATTATTAAACACGACAGTACTTAAACATAGGATTATTTGCTTCCCGGTGCATAACCGCGGCCTCGAATTGAGGACCTTCAAGAACGACAAATTCAATCATGCGATGAATCAGAGCAAGTATGGATCTGAATTTTGAAAATTAGAAAAGTAAAAATGCCACTAACAAACACTTACCTATCACTTGGCATAACGACCTTAACCACCGCTTCACGGAGAACCTTTAAATTGACAAAAAGAGTATGAGTGAGACGAAAGTTCAGATCATGTTAGCAGTATATATAACTTATAAAGTTCACAGCACGAAATTTTTCTCAAAACGTATTGTAGATAAAAAAAACACTAAAATATACCCAACATCTGGTCACGAATTAAAGACCACTGATATGTTCACCATAGATTTTAGCTGTTTTATTGCTATACACAGAAAAAGGCTTAATGTCTACTAAACGACGAACAACTTAATGAGTAGTTCCAAGTCAGAACCGAGAGGAAAAGACCAAATTTCTCAAAAGGCGAAATCTATCCATGAATTAAACGGATTTTGAAATATGGATAAGGAAATGAAGTTAAAAAATAAATAACTCGACAAATATGTTATACAAGTAAAAATGCTTCAGTAGATAAAAACCAGTGAAAAAATTAGTTTCAAATATTTTAAAACTAAACTGACTGATGCGACAATTACCTTATCTCTAATTATTGTCTAAATAACGTACTGATCCTTGAATATCCCCAAGTGGAAATGAAATGGATGAGTACAATATTTCACAGAATTATACATGAATACAGTCACGATGAATAAGAGATCATCCTAAAACTCACACTCATCCAAGACCAAAACAGAAAATTTGAGAACACAATTAGCTTGCTATAGTAGCTTAATATTATGAAACCCACAGGTTTGGAATAAGGAATATATAAAACTGTCACTTGTATTGTTTCAGGAGCACGATTTTCATTGAAGGGGTTCGTAAAGCATGAAAACCAATTTATTGTCAGTCAGTTACAACGTGGGACCATGCACATATATATGCATCGGTCCAAGTTGCCATACCGCATTAACACAACAAGATGGACACCGGATTCATAAAAGTAGTTGATTCAGAGGTGGTAATATATAAAAGATTGTGTATAAGGATATAGTACAGGAAGAAAGAATTAGTTCGTAGAAAAAAAGATATACAGCAATTTTAATCTCACCATTTAAGGGGGGACAAAGAGTAAATACACCAACGCCATTGTGACCGATTCTGAGCCATGTCACCAAGAGTCTCCAACCATTGGTTACGATAGTCACGCGGACCCCAACCAAGTAGTCTGAATCTACCAACATGGCTCAGACTAGAAGTTAGTGACTTCAAGCACTGATGCCACGTTTTGGTTTGACCGCCCCTAACTTTCTTCCAACCATCTCCAAACCGGTTAGCATTGCACGTCGTGGTAATCGGTGTTCAGGCATACGTAACACGTGGCCCAACCATTTCAGTCGATGAAGATTTACAACCTCATCAACTGATTTACCATCATTCCCTAATACCCTGCGTCTAACCTCACTATTACTTACCCGGTGATCCCGGCAGACGCCAGCAATATTTCTAAGACATCTGTGATAAAATACTAGTAACTTACGAGTATCCTCCACTCTTAACGGCCATGTTTCGCTGCCGTAAATTAAAACAGAACGAACTGCAGCGCAGTATACTCGTCCTTTTATTGATAGACGGATATCTCGCCTTCGCCATAGGTGACGTAAGTTGGCAAAAGCCAAGCGAGCAACTTATAAAGTGTGAATCTCATGATATGTTATTGTGCATGCCAAAAAAAAACAGAATTGTCCCTAAATATTAAAATTCATAGCTATTGGCAATCGTAAACTAAACTAGACAGAGTTTTGACAATGAAACTCAGGTTCTTATTCAAAGTGCTCACCTGGATTCAGTACGCAAAGTATGAAACTACTACTGAGAGTACACCGTTTAGTTAATAGAACTATATTTGCGCAAGTAGACTTTGAAAAAGTTCTTAAGTCATGTCAACTTATCAAATTTCCATAAGATTATCGATAATTGAATACAATCTGGCTATAATGAGTCAGATTGGGACAACAATATAACAAAAAGGACTCCTGTTTTCCCAGACAATTTAGTATATTAATTGATAGTTCGGTAAATGCTAACCAATAAAATGAGAAAAACACAATTCTCCAAGTCATTAAATATATTTCTGTGAAAGCTTACTATGACGATACTCAACAAGTCACTAAACCTAAAACACATGAAGAATTAACAGATCACTACCGAGTTTTCGGTTTAGTATACATCGTACGAAGTATATTTCCCAGTGAATAATCTATTTAAAACTTAGTTTTGCAAGAAGGAAAAAACTCCAAACACTAACTTCAGTAAGTTCTTCACTCGACATTTTATTTATATCGTATGGCTTTCGGTCTGGAGCTGGGGGTGGTGGCGCGCTGTCACCGTCTGCACCATCAGTTACAAGTTTAGCTCGCTCCTTGATCGCCAAGCGAAATGACTTCAACCACTCTCTAGGTTGGGCATTGAATGGTAGTCCACTTGGAGGAGGTGGTTTAACCAACTCAAGCAATGCCGGAGGAATGTAAACTGGGTATAAAGGGATCGGGACGCTTTTCCCCCAACCTAATTTCATTTCAAATCCCATAAGTTCTTTTCCTGTAATACAAAATATGTACACTACATTAATGAATAAGTTCACAATCAAGAACCGAGGAAACAAATACACAGAATCAATCAAGATACTACAACATTAGTTTAACAAAGTAGTACATTAAGGGACCCGCCATACTAGAAATATTGACAAATTTCGTAAGATAACGAGAAATCATGATCCTAACAATACTGAAGGATCTTTCTATAAGACGAACAGACTTTATCCTCTTTTACTGCGCATGTAGAATAGAGGAAAGCGAAGTATCCCTAGAGTGATTTTGTCACACCTGATTATATGATAACCAGGATAAGACAACAAGTGATAACCAAACGAAACTTCGTTTTCCAGTACAATCTCACAAACTGACTGACGCTCGATTTCTACTACCGATATTAGAAGACAAAAACTACACTAAACGACTTTCACGGACAAAAAGTGCTTAAAGCACAGAAACTAGGACCTAAAACGGATCGACTAAATACTGACCTTCAATTTTCTCTGACAATGTCGATAGATCAGCGTTACTAGGACGACATCTCCACAAGATTTATAGGTCTTTGGAGATGAAAATAGTTAATTTTATTAAAACACAAACATTGGTATAAAGAGGAACCAAATACACGACACACGAATCATACGATTCACGTGAGCCCACTCAACGTTAACTGTTAGAATACATAATATAACCATAAAGCACAATCTGAATGTTGCATATCTACTTTCTTGAGAACAGATGCATTTTAAAGATACACGGCTTTTACATACTCAAGGACTGGTTTTCTTGCTACTTCCAAGATGAGTAGATGCAAAGCTGTATGAGACCCCATGTTAGGTATAACTAAGGCACGGCTTGTTGCAAATCTTTACACCTATGATGAAAGATAATTAGTATCTTAAGAAGTGAACTGAGAATAAACTTAACACGTAAATTATATTGTAATACTAGTTTGAACCCAACACCGACAATTCATCGCTTAAAATGCATAAATCAAACTTAGGGTCTCTTTTTAAATGGAGACGCGTGCTTTGATAGATATTAAGAGTGGTGAACTAGTGCAAATCACGTTTAAACTAAAAATAAGAGCAAGATAAACTGACCTCTAATGTTGTCGAGGGCTCGTTCGCCATCTTTTCTATTCATGAAAGCAACAAATCCACAGTTTCTTCCTCTTGAACGTTCTTCTTCTGTCCTAGGCCACATTATTTTGACACTTGCAAGAGGACCATAACGACCGAAAGCCTCACACAGCTGTTGCTCCGTCATCTGAATATGTGATGTACTGAATAAAACTGAAATACTTTAGGGTTTAGATTCCCAAGAAAAAGATTTGTCGTTGTTCTATCACCATCGTAATCATATGGGTAATCAACTAAATAAGGTTAACTATCGGAAGTGGAAACTACCATCATGACGATCATTTTGGCTGCGTTTAGAATAAAAGCTCGGTGGTGTCGACACTGTGTTGTGAAAACCCATGCCTGAATCTCCACCCTGATTATTCGAAGAACCCCTCCGATATTCCCGATTACGCATACCAACATCGGAGAGATCTAGCTCAGACTGTGTAGAGAGTTGATTTCTGCCTTGTCTTAATGCATGTCTTTGCTCTCTCTGTTGTTGAATCCTAGTTGTGGTCAAGTTAGAGGATTGTCACATGAACATACAATTTGAGCTCCTCTTTGAACTGTTCTAGTTTAGATTTTTTTTGTTCTTGTCCTTTGCGCTTGCCGAGAGCTGGCTACAAACAAGAATAAGGTGGATACTTCCTTACAGGCTTTTCAGTGGATTTCTTGAAATCTGCTTTATTTTGTTCCTCAGCTTTATTTAATCTAGAATCCAACTTCGAGACAGGTCTGTATATGCGGCTAGTCCCCTTCGTATCCTCTGAGGAACCTATAGCAGCTGTTATTATCAACAATCAAACTTATATACCTGAAGACGGATTGACGACACCACCCTTAACCCACGCTCGGGATTTAGAAGGCTCCTCAAAAGTGGCGACAAACTCCTCAAACACTTGCTGTGTATGCTCTTCCTCTTTCTGAGATTTGAGAAATTAACCGTCAGTAGACTAACCTTCTTCTTCTGATCAAAATCATTCCGCTTTGAAGATGATCTACTAGATTTGACCAGACTATTACTGTGTCCACCAGATTTCTCGTTGGACTTCATTTTTTCACAGATGGCGCCATGAATATCGTAAGTGAACTAAAACGTGAACTTGGTTATCAAAAACCTTAACACTGGATAGCGCTTCTCAACATCTTGTTTCATAGAAGAGCTAAACACTTTATTAACCGTGATGTGAGCATTCGAATTTCCAGATAATATCACAGGAAGGACAATAGTGAATTGATGAAACCCGCCCATCGTGAAGTAGTGTGCCTTATGGTAAGTGATGTCCAGGAGAAATCAGAAGTGCTATATCAGATAAAATTTCTATGTAGTCAAAAGCAAATTGTAAGTTTTAACCGGGAGACAAAAAGCTGACCTGTGTTGTCTTTTTATATATAGGACATGATCTCGTTATCGTAAAGTAAAAGCAGAGAGAATTTGTTTATATTTTGAAAGAAACTTCACGACGCTGCCAAAATTTTGACAGAGCAATCAAGGAAAGATTTAACATAGCACAAATCTGAGATAAATATTCCTGACCGACTATAAGTTCTTTATTTTGTAGGTTTTATGAGTGATCTTCCCTACGCTTTTAAGATCGAAGGGCACATCATTGAAATCAGACCATTTGCTCAATAAGTGGCCTGAGAAACACTGAATCAGATCGGATAGTTCACTAGTTTTTGACACTGACGCTGACATTGTTAAATTTACTGGACACACCCCTGGATTTAGGCGGTCGAGCAAGCATACACACTAGATCACGATTGCGTACACAGCACTGGGCATATTCAACATCAAATAGTCATATTAGATCACATATTTATCTATACGTCGATCATCTTTCAAATATATCGTCGAATCCATGCATTCCTAATTGCTGGTTTTACCGGGTTTGGATCCTTTGTTACAGACAATAACCTTACCATGCACAGAACTTCCGTGTTATTCTTAAAAGTGGTGGGTATACATACACCATATGGTCCAAACGGTTTGCCCACCAGTCCCGCACATCAATCACTTGTATTCAATAATAGCTGCTTGCCACCAATCATTATTGCAAGAGTCCAGCAAATTAATAATAACTGCAAAATCATTTTAAGAAGCGTTTTGCGAATGTGTATGAAAATCTCACTAAGTACACTTTGGTTGTGTAACTTGTTGCTTTACTTTTAGACGTGAAGTTACTCTCCCTGGTCAATTTAGCTGTACAGTTTGTTGACCTTCAGATATTAGACAATGCACTTACTATTTTCTTATTGCAGTCTCAGATTTTCTCACGTTTCTAATGAATTTCTATGGTTCTGTTGAACTAATTCAATGTTATTTTATGTGAAACTTTGGTTATGACGACTGCCATATTGATTCGTCCTTACCTTTTAAATAAGTAGCTTGATCAAACAGGGACTGTTCATTTTATGACTGTGATTTGATGCGTGGTTCCTGGGATGGAAACATTCTCTGTTGTTTTGTGGTCATATTTCTGACTCCAGTTAAATCGTATGATTGCCACGAAAATATACATTCCACAAATTGTCGTACATAATTATGAACTTAAATCGAGTTAGTGAATAACGGAATATGTTAAATACGAAAACGAAGTTTGAATACGTATATTTCGTGCACTCGTTGATCTGAACAGACAATAAGGGAAATGAAGCGAAGGAAAAAAGGTTGAGAGAGTAGAGCGAGACGAAACGACGAGCAGTAAAGAAGGCGAATGAGTTTATTCGTACGACCAACCGTGACTCAACATTTGTTTACGGACCAAGAATAAGTTGCAGGGACATGATGAGCACAAGATCACTTCAAAGTCAGTGTTAATAAACGAATAAGTGACAAAATCGGAATGCAGTTTTTGAAGAACAATAAAATTAGTTTGTCCAGAAACCAGAATGATTTAGGTGAGCTTGACGTAATACTAGCCACTGCAGTCCTATCGAGGAATTAAGCCTAAATTTCCCAATAAATGCTGTCGAAATTTTAAAAACTAAATATTACCAGTCGGACAGACTAAGCTTGATCTGTCAGAAGGGTTAGCATAATATCCCGTATTCGCGAAGACGTTTAATTTTGTGATTGGTAATTATTTCGTGTCCCTTATCAATTTACCTACTTAATGTAATGAAGATGCCACAGGTATTCGGAGTTCGACAACGCCTTAAACAGTTACACATTCTAATATGAATCGTACAGCAAATCGATTAAATGCCCTCAGGTAAACTGAAAAGTGTCCTGCTGCATTTGTCTGGATAAACCTTCTTCCATGACTTGACGTGAAATGTTTTTTCAAGCAAAGTAATTTATACTACCGAACTGCTCAAGTAAAATTCGCTATCTACTCCAAACACTGATTCATGGCTGAGGCGGTTTTCATGTACCTAGCTTGATATGTGACGTTAAATTTCCTGTATCTTGTTGTAATAGCGACATCATTTTAGAGAGAGTTGAAAATATTGCTCTTCTCAGTCCCTATTGCTTATCAATTTGTACTGTTCTCCACTGCTGAGGTCAGAGAGAGTGTTGTAAGTCGGTTGGTTACCTGATCATAATTCCAACATGGCGATGTCAGAGTGAGATTCTTCGCACATATGTGCGAAAACTGCTAAGGTTTACATTCTTGCGGCAAAGACTTTAGCTGTAACGCGAATCTCAAGTTGATGTTGAGGTCCCTTTGTTTCCATGTTTCACGCTTATTTTCTGGTTGAAATTATGATTCCTGTTAATTTATGCTCACAATTACTTTTAATTTTTTATGGTACCATTTTCCTTGCATGATTTCTCTGATAATCTTCGTTTTGTTTTGCCCAGATATATATTTCGGCCGTGGTTGTTGTAATTTTCTTTTTCTCATTATTCTGAACTCGTAGTGTTACGTAGAGTTACGTTCTGACAAGAATACCGTTAGTCTTCAATGGGTTCCACGGTACAAACTCTGAAGCACCGGTCGCTTCTAGCTAGGCTCAGAAACGGGTGTTCAGTGAAACTGTAATCACTCAAACGCTGTACTTGAACACTTGAGTTGACAAAGTGAGAAACAATTAGTCCAAGTCGCTGTAAAAACCACATCAGACCTCCAAGGGTCCTAGACATTGAATTCAGCACCACCTGAAATAAGATTTACTGCCCTATGTTTGACACTAATATGATATTAATGTTTATGAAATATGTGTCCTGTTTGCATTATATGTATTCCGTCTACGTATTCCGTTAAAAAGAAAATGGAAACAAGTGGCCGAATGGAGAGATTTTTAAGGAGGATTCAGTCCATATTTCAGAAGAACGATAGGAGACAATTAAAATACAGTGTAAAACTGAGTGATAAATAGCAGACTCTGTAAGTAGTAGGTGGCTCGGTCTTCATAAGAATAAAACAGATACCTGTAAATATAGAGACACGAACTCATCAACGCATGCACGCGTACAAAACGTGTTCGAATCTGTACGTAAGTAATTGGCAAGTGTAAATGTCAGTGATAGAATATATGAAAGGTTCGAAATCATTTGTTTACGCAAAGGTTGAAAGAAATCACGTAAGGTTTTGGTAACAGAGACGTGCTACAAGATGCAATGTCTTCATCCAGTTTTTAGAATTTGTTTGTTTTTCTCACTTTCATTCTCTCTGAAACAAAAGCGAAATTCGGCTGTTTTGTGACGCGTATACGGGTGGCTTCGATAACCCCGAAGTGCTTGCTGGTTTAAATCACTAATTTACACTCTCCGCTTCGTTGCCACTCTCCTTTGAAGATAGCCATATCGTAAACACAAACTTCGCCGTCAGCTACGTTCAAGAACAGCCAGGTTTTAGGTTCATTTTTCGAACTTATTTTGGATGGGATTCTGACGCTTACTTTCAGGAAAAATTATAGTGGGGTGTTTGGAAGTGGCAAGACAGAAGTTTGATTTGTCTTGAGACCATTCTCGTCGTCCGAAACCTAAGCTGTAATTACAGGGCTAATGAAGCAGGTGTTCGGGTTCGTAAATTCTGTCAGCTTCCGTCGTAATAACTTGGAGACATTTGGGCAGCATTAACTGTGGATGTATGCAATCTCTTCAACTATGGCTCGAGATCGTGGTAATCTATTGAGTTATTACAGTTTCTGAGATTAACTGCTTTTGTGAAGGATAAGAATATGACCTTCTGGAGGCCTAAGAATGGACTTTACATTCCCCATGTCAATATGTTGAGTGAGCGAGTTTTGACGGAAGCATCACAAAGTGATTTCGGGTCTCAGTGAAAGAACGTGATTTTATACTCCTCAGTATTTACTGTTCTTTTGTTCACAGTCTCTTGTTTCGTCACGTCGAAACTCGGCCTTCACTAAGCTCCAAATCGTTGGCTGCAGTTATAGTAAGAAGCCTCATTATTGCCTCTACTCAGTGCCATAAGCACTTGCAAGAGTAGAATTAGTCAAGTTGGGGTTCTTGCTTCGCTACAAGCTAGACAAGTCGGCCCGTAGGACGGGAATTCCTAAGCGCTTGCTGCACCCCTACCGACCATGACTGTCGATACCATCCACTATTCTCTAATTACCACTGTTTATGCTTTTTATATTAAGCAGTAAAAAGATAAAATGTTCCTATGGAAAAAGACTTATTTTTCATATCTCTAAAGTGATCTTTCATCACCCTTGATCAATATCTTTACATTTGAAGTCCACTCTTTTATTATCATTCTCGGTTGTTAGGTGGACGTAAACTGTAATGAGAACTCCACTCACTAAACTATATCTAATTAAAAAGTCTCAGTCCTTTTTCGTGCCGTAAAATCATACTGCTAATAAGAAATGGCAGATGTAAGATCACAATAACCCAGATAAGCTACAAAACTTAATTATTTCTAAGTGCACATAGTATTTTTTTCGTGGGCATACCGTTTATATATATATATATATATATATATATATATATATATATATATATATATGCAGTTTTTATCCTCACTTGAGGCACTATATGTCTTCAGTGCCGTTCCTCATTTGTTTTCGGATAAGACATTTTATTTCTTTCCTTTACCTAATATTGGGATACTGGTCTCACGGGTGTGTTACTCATTTGAATCGTTTTCGAGGTAAACTATGGTGCACTCTAATTCTTATGCAGCTAAACTTCCACGCTTGAACTTCTACACAGGTGGTGTCTCAATCACCAAAAATGCTCTAGCCGAAAGTTTTTCACTTTAATCTTCAAGCAACTATTACCTGTGATTTAGTAAGCAACCATTCAATGTAGTATTTGTTTTTATCTTCAAAAAGACACGAGGCCAGGGACTGGGCCTCCTCTTTATAACATGTGGTGGAAACTCCATCAGTTGGCGACTTTAAACTACTTTAGACTTAAGTAGCATTGATGTGATAATTAGCTGTATCTGAGTTCTAGTGCGAATTAGGAATCCCAGAAATGATACGATTTGGATAAAGAAGAATCATGCGCGCACGAACAAACGTATCGTTTTTAAACTTCGAAACCAGGCAGCCATCAAGTAAACATGAATCGTCAGTCCGTATAAACACACAATTACATCATGCCATGTTCTTTGACTAACAAGAAAACAGAATTCCGATCTGTCACTTATGAATAATAATGACTTGAAAATATAGTTGTGTGCTGAAGAAAATTACAACAGAAGCAAGTCTTTGATATTGACATTAATTTAGCCAATTAATATGACTTACGGGAATATAGCAATCATTTTTGTTTGATCACGGCAAAACTTCAATATATTGACTTTTGGAGGTTAAGTACCAATATAACATTGGTTTAGATGTGGTATGTTCTATTGCTATTTTAGGACTTTCATACTTTTTAAGTTGATGTATCATATATATCTCAGCAAGCGTTTGGCAGGAATGTATCATTTCTAGGACACAGAAGTCTCAAGGAAAGTATCATGGATATGCTAGCTTACTATATATTCGATTCAGTGTATGAAATTGAGATCTAGGTCCTCATTTATACCTAGATTCGTATTCATGCAGCCTCCTGAGCTTTTTTCGGACGAAATGCTGATAAGTGTGATGAAAGACTTATGTCTAAGACGATTATGTCTTCAATCTAACAGCTTAGTTAACACCTTTTTCGATAAGCAGAGCTATTATTATGTTTCCATTGTTACATTATAGTATTTTTGCTGAAAGTGATGTGTAGTTGTTTGTAAGCAATTGTGAATCTAACCGTCGTTTACAGCTTTTTAGGTTTAGTGCCTTCTCTCTTACTGTTTGTATATTTTTGGTGTGAATTCAATACAAGTGATCTAATTCAATCAAATCACATACGTTCGATTGAAAACCGATTTTTTCGCACGATGAAGTAGCCTAATTTGACCAAAATCTACTTTGATGTTGCTCGAATAATTCCCGTATTACTCAGACCTTCATATGTTTGATACTAATAAATACATCATTTGTCATTTTTCGTACAAACAACTAAATTCTTACTTTAGCATTGCTTCTGTTAAGTTGAAAAATTTACGTCGTTACCATCTATATGGGGAGTGAGATTTTTTTTAGCAAATCAGGCTTTGAAATATGATTGACAGACGTACAATCAAATGGGTGAGTTATAATGTACCGAAACATATCATTAATATTTTGGTAAAGTGTGTTGTCATCACATAGTATTTTTTTCGCTTTGCTTGCACTGGAGGAGCAGTTTTGCGTCATATGCACGCGAAACCCCTTTTAAATATGATTCTGGGTTTATGGCTTCCAGATTCAAGTAGTATAATCCTATACACATAACGTAAGTTCCTCCCAAAACGTTAAAATATTTTTATCACATCCAAATTTGATGTAGTTATTAGCTATGCTTTGCTTAAAGATGTAACTTCATAAATCTATCGAAATTATATTTGAAACAAATTTAAATGCAATTTCCTTCTGCAAAAAAGATAGTGTATCCAATCTCAATTTTTCACCATATTTATGATTAACTTCACTCGTTATTACAATGAAAACATAGAATAACGCTTGGCAATACTTGTAGAATATGATAGAAGATAATCTGAGATATCCGATTTTGTAAACTTTTTCTTGATTTAAATAATTAAACACCCATTCAAAATATTTGTTATATACATTTAGTGGTTAGTCATCACTGCACAATCAAATACGTTATGCGTATATTTGTTCCATGAGATTAAGAGCAATCTCAGAAGATCAAGACTGTTGAACCAACGTCTCTATTCATGATATTAACTTCATAAAGCTCATGAAACGACTTATTTCGAGCATTTTGTTCACAATACACGTTAATAATCCACCTGAAATTTCTATTGTTAATCTAAGGTTACGGAGGGTACTCTTTGCCTTCACATTTTTATTCTGAATTTATTAAATAACTATCGCTTTAGTATTTCCAGATAACAGTAAATATTTCTTATGGAGAACCACCTTCAGCGGTAATTATAAAAGTTTTTCTGAAAATTTCTTTTTGTTGAGATCAGGTCTTTGTCAGTTGTGGGGTTTACAAAGCATCAGAAAGCATAATAAAAATTTATGCAGGGATTGTGAAAATTTCTCGAAGCTCCAAACTAAAGTCAATGCAACATTATGTGACGTCTCTTGATTGTGTAATTTATTTATAACAGTTGATATTTACCCATTGTAAACCACTTCACAATGTTCTCGACGGTTTGTGTTACTGACCTCTATCCTTTCAGAGTAAAGAAATGTTTCGATTGAGTGAAATAAAATTTCGAAGAATATCCACAGTAAGAAATCAAGTCGGGTGATAGTATTTAGAGACGATTCTGTTCTTTCAAAATTAAGTTTGATAAGGATTCATTGGGCTCTTTTAACTACTTTATAGCAAAACGACCTATAAAAATGCTTTATTTTGTTCTCCATATGAAATATTTCTGGACTGATTAGGTATTAATAGGTATGACTTTTACATAATACACTAGAAACCAAGAGTCTGTGTTACGCCATTACGATTTAGGGAAATATAATGAATAACTGAAGATCTTCTTTGAAACCACAACGAAAAGCTCCTTGCATAAAAGTTAACTGGGTTTGTAAAAAGGTACATGGTATGAAAGCTGAATGTTCATAAATAGTCTCATCCAGTGAGTATGATTTGAGCTACATCCGAGTGTTTACTTCCGACTTGATGAAATAATCTGTCCATAGTTTTGTTTCTGAATATCGGGTCTATTGAATAAAAATAACTAACGATGAAGATGGATACATCAGAATGTTACTAAGATGTTTTCAGCGTGCGAAGAAACCATTGACTACGTGAATGCTTTCTAACCTTCTGTTTGTCGTCAAAAACTGACAGCAAATGAAGAAACGCCAGAAATATAGACCCTGAAATGGTTATCGAGTCCTTGAGCAAAACTCGTTTGCAGTACTTCCCGACTACTGGATATATATCAAGTTTGAACAAAGAAAGTTTCACAAACGACAGTAGCTGATCATCACCCTACATAATTTGACTTTTGTTGCCTCTATGAATAAAACTAACTGCTAATTCAGCTAGTACACAGTGACCATCTAAATAAACGTCTCTATCAAATTCCGAATAAGTTGACAGACGGCACTAAAATAGCAATAAATTGAGAAGGTTTTCAAGGTAATATGTTGTGTTTTGAAACCATTTGTAGATGTGTTTGACTGAAACAAGCTATTCAAATGATGTAAATAATCTGTAGACGTAAAATAAAATATCCTATTTTCCGGTTAGCTGGTTTGCGGTGAACTATCAAAATTGAATGTATTTTCTTTCACTATGAACTGATTTGACTGGTAGAGATATTAAGAACGAAATCAGATAATTCGTCCACTTAGTTCTAGTTTTTAGGGATTTCCAACACTGCACATTGACGGTCTTTAGCGCTCGAAGCCACTGTGATATCCCTCAGCCATTAAGTTAGTACCGACTGGTCTATTCTCAAAATTGCTTTTCAATGCTTCCTGGATACCGACGGTTTTTTACTTTAGTGTTAGTGAATGTATCAAATTACTTTTTGATGGATTCATGAGTCAGTCAAATATACTCTGTCGCAAATGCAGGCTGCTGAATGGCTATAAATGACAAGGTATTACATTTCAATTTGACCCTGTCTCAAAACCCAGAACTTTCAGGTAGTTTCGACTAGCAAAAATGAGCGTTTAAAGTATTTCATATTTACCACAAAAAAGTTATTATTGAATAGAAAAGTGACTGTATTCAGCTATTTTTTGGTTTTTAATATTAAAAATTACCAAAAGTCTTTGTTACACCAAAGTTAATAGCCTTCTATTATGTCAAAGCATTGGTTTCCTGGCTGACAAATCTCAATCTGAAGTGATCAATATGAGTTGCTGATTTAAACGAAACACAGCTCAAAAACCCATCACTACTTGACATTTTATCCACAAACCAAAAACAATGGAGGTCAAAGTTTTCTAAATCTTTTTATATAGGCTACGTCGAAGTTTCTTGCTTAAAACTTTAAAACCGATGTTATACTCAGGTTAAGTATGAGTATATATTCCCCATCAAATATATCATCCGCTTCTAAGCAATATAGTAAGTAAATGACATTTATTTTTGATTTATTTATTCTCTCCTTCATACACTTATAGTGCAGTATATATCTTTACCAGTAATAAGTAATTTTCGGTGCATTTCCACCTTATTTTAAAATGCTATCTGATAGATAGTTTTGCACAAAAATTATACTAGCAGGAGAGAAATTGAATAAGAAAAAGATAACTAAATGATTGAGATTTAAATTCTATATTGTTTAATATTTCTCTATTTCATGTTTTAAAATGACTTCATCGTGATTAAAGATATTCGGCGCTAATAATAATGTCTTGTAGCATGGTATTTCATTAAATTCTATTGAAAAAAAGATAAATATTGTCAATATATGTCATAGGGTAAGCTTGTAAAGTTGAATTCTTTATCATGAGTAAGTTAGTCTATTCCAGCTTTCAATCACAAACAAAGAGTATGTCTAGTTACTGACACGACAATCGAATAAATTATTTGAAAAGAAGAAAATTTCGGTTATTAGTAAAATAAAGAAGAAAGAGAAATGAAAACTTTATCAATGGTAATAGATAGCAAAGTACAAATATAAGTGATGCGTATATTAAAGCTTTAAATATAACAATTCATAAATCATACAGATTATATAGTTTATTTCCAGTATACTTAATCACAAGTAATACAATGAAATGTTTCGATAATGCAATGAGAAGACGAAGATTATCAGAACTATGTGATATATTAGCGCAATACATTTCGAACAATCTGGTCACACATATACTTGTTAAGAGCATTTATATATAAAAATAAAAGGTCAACTAGACAGGAAACGGGGTAAGAGGAGATAAGGATAATGATAAGAGTAATAATAATAATAATGTGAACACAATTTGAAACCTAATCACTCTGGATAATAAGTCAATATTACCAGGGTAGGTTTAAGGTAAGAACAAACTGTTTTTGAACACATAAAGGGGGTTTGAATTTTCGTATGGCTAAGGCTTCAATGAACCTTAGTATACGCCCTTTTACACTTTTATACAACACTACAAAAGCTGAATTTAGATCAATCTTATGGCCTGTTTCAATTATATGTTTAGCAATAGAGGATGATGGATGTTTATCCTCTGCTCTTATCGGTTCACTTGATTGTATTTGTTTCTGAAGCCATTTGGGTACATGTTCACTCACCCTAATGTTGAGATCACGATTACTCCTCCCTATGTATGTGTGACCACACACACATTTAAATTGGTAAACACAGTGGGATGTGACGCAATCGTTTCCATGTACTTTAGGTTTTGAATGAAGCATGCACCTTGTTCTTTCTTTGATGATGACCTTTGCTGCGCAATAGGTTTTATTGATGACTGATTTAAGTCGTTGTTTCAGTAAAAGGCTATTTGAATCACCTCTGAATGGTAAGGTGATGTAGACAGGCTTTTTCTCTACCGAGGCTACAGTAGGTCTCGCTGAACCATGGACTTTCCATCTATTTATGAATTTCAGAGGATAGCCATTTTCTATTAACGTTTTATTTAACAACTTTACATCATCATCAATGGCGTCATTGGTACAAATACGGTCGAGTCTGTTGAAAAGACACCTTATCAAACCACGTTTATATTGCACAGGGCAGTAACTATAATAACTAAGATATTGACCTGTCCACGTTGGTTTTCTAAAAATAGATCGCTTTACTGATCTATCACAATGAAATGTGAAATTGATTTATAGACTTAATTCAAACAAATGAGCATATTCATACATCCTAAAGAATTAAGATGTATTTGTCCGTTGTTGAAATTTTCATTAAAAGTACTGGAATTTAGTAGCTAATGATAGATATAAGAAAATAATATCAATTGTTCTGTAATTATTGATTTAACCTAACTCACTTTAACAGAGAAGTACTGGTAATTTTTGTTGTGGATGCGGAAGAATAGACCAATAATTATCATGTTAAGTCCAGTGGTGTCCTTGGACTTTAAATGTACATTCCCTATTGGCTATTATTTAATTCATTCGTTACATATTGCGTAAATGTTGTTTACTATTTTTATGGTACGCTGTGGTATGCTTGACTAGTATATAAACAAAGTATGTTTGAAATATAGTGATTCATATCTCCGAGGCTGTGACTTGTGTTCTGGACTCAACTGACTGGGCTAGACAGGGAAGCGGGACCAATCAGGGCACTAGGTCGTCCGTACGTGTTTTCCGTGTCACTGTACTGCGATCGATCAATAAAACGCTGCTTATCAAAACCTGCAGTCTCACATCCGTTACAACAATTGGCGACGGGGTGGAGAAAAATTTTGAACCTTGTAATTGGACGAGATTCAGGTTAATTGTTTCGACCAATCAGCATCCAGATTGTCACCAGCGTCCTTGAGCAACATTGGTCATTATTCCTACAGTTAATTTTCATTGCAGGTGCTGAAAAAAAAATGACTACCTTTTCCGATCGATTACAGCTTCTACTTGAGCAACAACAGCAGTGCTTCAAAAATAGCCAGTTAAATTTTTTAGAAAATTTACGCACACTGTTGGTAAATGTTCCATGTTTCGGAGGTGCAACAGAAGTTGGTAAATTCATTTCTCATCTGCAGACTGAGCTGGAAAACAACTGCAGAACATATGAAGCTGTTTATAAAAGCCTCTGTGAATCCCGGACGACCAGTGATGTAAACGAGACAGTTATTCATGGTCCGCCCAGTTGTCCAGAAATGTCAAATTCCGAAACGTTCCCTGTCGTGGGTTCAAATCCCACTGTTCCTGAAACGTGTACAGACAGTGATGTACCCAGCTCACAGGAGGATCTCTTATTAAATGCTCATAAATTAATTGCAGTACCCGCCCACAACGGAACAGGGAACAAATCGTGCGGTACACTGAATCCAGCTGTTTCAAATGGTCCTCATCATTCAACAACAGGAGATTCTGACGAATCTTATTATCTAGATCTTTTTGTACCAGAAAATGTGTTAAATGCATTAAATGATGATCAGAAATCTAATACAATTTTGATAGATGTTGATTATCGCAGTGATCAACTGTTTACAAATGAGATTTTCAACAAATCCCGTGACAATGTTCCAGAAGAATCAAACGTTGGTGACCTCATATCAAGCGACATTGTTCCCCACTATTTAATCACTTTCAGTGACTCCCCTGTTCAATCTGACAATTATGTGTTAAATAAAGTCAAATTAATTCTAACTTGGGAATATGAGGACCCAACATTATTTCGTGGGGGAGGATGAACCCAGAAAATTTCAAAATCCGGATATCAACTCCGGATCTTCAAAAAAAAGGGGAGGTGTTGTGGATGCGGAAGAATAGACCAATAATTATCATGTTAAGTCCAGTGGTGTCCTTGGACTTTAAATGTACATTCCCTATTGGCTATTATTTAATTCATTCGTTACATATTGCGTAAATGTTGTTTACTATTTTTATGGTACGCTGTGGTATGCTTGACTAGTATATAAACAAAGTATGTTTGAAATATAGTGATTCATATCTCCGAGGCTGTGACTTGTGTTCTGGACTCAACTGACTGGGCTAGACAGGGAAGCGGGACCAATCAGGGCACTAGGTCGTCCATACGTGTTTTCCGTGTCACTGTACTGCGATCGATCAATAAATACGCTGCTTATCAAAACCTGCAGTCCGCATCCGTTACAACAATTTTATTGCGTCCTCGTTGATTCTGAAAGTTTGTAATCTAGCAAAACCCGATTTTCAAAGAGACCACATATAAATATTTAATAAGCTTAAAGGTCCAGTTAAAGTCGGATAGGGGCTAGTGGTATAATCCATGGAGCGTTTTTTATCTCATTTTTGAGTCGTCAGCTGAATATATCTGTATCTCAGTGTTAATGTTGATAATGAGACTTTCATGTAATAACTCTCACTTCAAACTCTATTGTCAATGAACTCTTTATTTTTATGTTTCCTGTAATATTTTATCGAGAAACATGAATTAAATTCATTCATAAATATGTCCAGCAGAATATGTATACCAAATCTCGTCTTGCATCTTTCAACGCTTACCTCCTATCAGTTGGTCTTAAAATGATGTTATATGAAGTCATGTGAATTATATGATCCAACAGTAAATCAATAGAACTCCATCACATATTCAACTGATCTTTTCAAAGTTAGTAAAATCCGTTATAACAAGCATGAAACAATTATTGATTTTCTTAAACTATTATTTCAGCTTAGAAAAAGATAAGTTGGTAATATATGAACAGAAAACTTTCATAAAATAAGCTTCATTACATATTTAAGTAGCCACATGATTTCTTTTGTTTTGAAAATTTTTGATTTGTCAACCGACAGTTGTCATACATTAATAAAACATCGTTATTATGCTACTTAAAAATTTCTCATTTAAAATATAACATACCAATAAGATTGAATAAAAACACTGAAGTAATCAAAAATTATACTATCGATATGTACGCTAAATAAAACTTGAAATTAGTTATTTGTGTTTGAGGTAGTGGTAATAAATTTGTTTTCACTGTAAAGAAGCAAGAATAAGCTTCTCAACATGCGATTATTGTTTGTAGCGATGCTTTGACTATTTAAACAATTCAGTCTCGGGTTGGTACCACAATAGGAGTCCAGAACATGTATGGATGTTCACAAATCAAGTTGATTCGTCAAAAAAGGATTAAAAAATATGTTCCGATTTTTGGTGATGATCGTTACAAAATATTTAGTAATGTACCTAGAAATATATCCAAACAACTTTATGTACCAATAGACTAATGATTTCAGTCCTATAAAAAGAAACTAATGACTGAACTCGAAAAACACACAAAACCTGTAACTACTGTTCCTTTTTTTGGTTGTAAATGAAAACTGAAAATTTTAATATTTATTTTGTTCAATAAATCCCACAATATTCACTATATACATATTCCTTGAAACAATAATAAAAAATTTGTAATAACAGCTGTTTGCATTATTCTCATGATGAAAACACACGCGTGAACATTTATATACCTATTCTGAAACAATATAAAAAACCTGTCACCTATGTGAACATTTCAAGTTGGATTATTCTTCTTTTTTTCAACCATTAAACCGTTATTTCTATGTGATTTTCTTTTACTGAATGGTGAACTAATAATGCTATAGAACTATGAACTATCTATTCTTTAGTACAAATCGATTAAAGTGTCTCTTATAAAAATACAAGAATTTAAACTAAAAGAAAGAGTATATAGAATAGATGGAATACAGCTAGCAGTAGAATCGAGGACGCTCGTTCTGTTCTATTCAAGATTCGAACTTTCATCCAAGAGTTTATATTCACTATATTTAATCCATATAAACTAGTAATATAATGAAAATCCCCACAGAATGCACACATACCAACTAGAATGATCAGATCTCAATCTAAATTTCAACAACAGACAATTCAAACCATTAAAAATTAAATTATAGGAAATAATAGTTTGAAGTAATTTAATGAATAGAAATTGACACAAATAATTTCTCGAAACAGGATTAGATTAGACATGGTGCATGCTCTCTGATTTATTCAAATTCCTGTTCCTAGCCTTGTTTATAAAAAGCTGCTTGTAGTAAATATTTGAATTTAACTGTGAACAAGTTGTTTTTAAAAAAGCACAATTTAATTATTACATAAAATTTTAATAGCTGAATCCACAAGTCGATCAATCTAGCCCACCATTGAAATTCTGGAAGCACTGGACGACCGTTTTACCTTAGTATGTGGCTCTTCAGCAGTGCGCATCCACGATCCAGCACGTGTGACTCAAATCCAGGACTCTCGGTCCAGTTTGAAAACGCCTATCGTCTGAACCACCAAGCCGGCATCCAACGGTGTTAATGTCTAGAGGTTAGGCGCTCACTTGCAGGATCGTGGATGCCCAGTGCTGATGGGTCCCATACTAGGACGAAACAGCCGTCCAGTGATTTCTCGTTTTCAATAGTGGTCTAGCATAGATCCACCCATAAATCCGACTATTAAAAATTACTACAATCTCCACAAATCCCCCTTCTACCATATAAATGTCTCCTAAATATGACATTTCCTTTCGTTCACTTTAAGAAAACTGGTCTATTCATATTTACATTTATTACTCAAGTATTCATATATTAAGAAACAATGTTAGCACTAATGTCTACTTTAATAAATTCTTTAATAACTTTGGTTTACATTCACAGTTACGCTATTAAGTGGATTTACTCTGAAAAAGTCCAGACAAAACTGCTGGATGAAACGTTAGAATTATTTAAGTTTCAATCGTTTACATTATCTCAAGTATAATGTTCACGAGTAGTATGATCTGATTGATCTTGATTGATATTTATTGTTAAATGGACATTGTGTCTTTTCACTAAAATCTTTTTTAATAATTAGTAAACAGAAAAAAACTAGTATGATAACAGTTAATTAATGAATAATTCAAGATAAATAAAATACTGAATAACACGAATTACTTCCCTGTGTTATCATGAAATAAGTTTCAAGTTGTATAAAGTTTATTACTTTTGAAAGTCACTTTATTTTATTTGTTCTTCTGAATAGTTTTTTTTTCTGTAATGATTATTAAAATTTTGGTTGTTAAACTGTAATATATTGGGAAAGGCTCATTTGTTCCCGATAAGTAACAAATAATAAGCCCAGCTGGTTTATATGAGCGAGTTTTCTTAATTCATTAGTTCTCAAAACAACTGGGCAGTAAATAATGCGTAACATAATTATTTACATATTGATTTGAAAATGGTCACAGACTAGTTTACAAACGAATCAGTATACCAACCAGAAATTGAAACTTTTGTAGGTGATATTAAATCTAAGATTTTATTTCAAAGTCATCACTCTTTTAGTTTTTTTTTGAAAACAACGTTACCACCAAAACAAACTCATTGCTTTTCAGTTTCGATTTGAGAGGAGGCTAGCGATTTGTGCTGGTCATTACGACGGAGGTCACTAAGTTGATCCAACTTTTTTTTTGAACGTGTTGACAGATGGAGCTTCAACCATGTGTTGAAGTAAGAAGTTCCGTTTGTTGATCATTCGATAGAAGAGTTGGTAATCAGTTAAAAAGTAATATATTCTGGACTTATGAACATAGTTGAAGTGTCCTCATAAATTCTGTTTTGAAAGACAAGAAAAATGGAGGCATTTTTGATGAAAAATTATTACTAAGAAATCTAAAAACTGTAACTAAGTTGTCTTTAGTCCCTCAGTATGATAATAAGAATAGGTTTAGTTTGGCCAGTCTCTTGTCACACAGTAGCCTAGAGATTCCGGTAATTAACTTAGTTGTAATTTTTTTCGACCTTTGAGAAACTCACTGTTCTTTGTAGGCAGAGACTGTCTGCTTGAATGCAATACTTGAGCTATTAATAAGTTTGTGAGACATGAATAACTTGTTTTAAAACCGTTTTGATTTTTGTAGAGAACCACATTTATATTCAGATACCTAAATAACTGCTTGTGAATAATCATTTCTTGAATATTAACCACCATGCTGATTAAACATGAGGCCTGATAATTATCAGGTTTATATGTGTACCTGTTTGAAGATTTACTATAGAGTTCTTTCATTTGTTTAATGATCTATCTTGGATTACAGGCAGATTAAAATATGTGCTCAAGGGATTTACTATAAAGTTTGAGATTCTCTTTGGTAATCTATGATGCGTTTGATCGGTTCCTATAGATCCATTTATATCTAATTCATTTAACACCGAGTTTCTTAATAGTCACAATATTTAGAGTGTGATTAAGGTATCTTTTTGTACCTGAGAGAAAAGCATCTATACGGTATATACATAAGGAAAGTAGTTTGAGAATATCTGAGCTACATTGCAGTTGTCTTCCGCTAGCAATACAGTACGACTATCATACAGTTCAGAGATGCCGCCTCCCATCCTCTACCCTTGATTTTTGTACAAGTGTAAGTGTTTTCTAAATTCTACAAACTATCTCTGTTAAAATAAATACCTTTCTATTTTTTCCGTTTTATGAGTGATTGTAACTCTATCAGCTAAATTTATTTTAAATAGCATCATTTTATTATTCTGGTGAAACCCAACATTAAACTTTTAATTAATAAAATCAACTGTTTATTATTTACACTATATAAGGATTAGTTCTTTAACCTATTCATATTAAAAGTATAATATCTAATAAATTTTAATTAAATACTGATTGCCTAACTTTATTAAATATTTTAGTATCTTAGTAGATTATCTTTAGCTCAGATTTTGTTCCCAATCCATATTTAGTTCTAAAGGTTAGTTTTCGTCACTTATTTAAAAGAGAAAAAAATACTTTTATTCACTAGTGAATTCTAATTAAAATTATATTAAGAAATTTCATTATAAACGTTATATATTACTTCAGTATTTATTGTTGAAAGAAGAACAGTTTCTTCTTAAAGTCAATCCTCCTACAGAATATAATAAACCCAATGATATTGATTTTTTTTAATGAAACAAAATGGAATTTCACAGTTTTTATTTAATTTAATTAGATAATTCATTTATTCTAATTTAATTTGTGTAATAAGTTTTGATTATGTAATTTATAGTTGTCATGTAATTAGGCTATAAAGCAAATTATTTGTTATTTTCCTGAATCATTATTTAAAATAAAATTGTACTTTTAAACGTGATACTATAATCATTTAGGTAAAAATGTTTCTATTTTTTTATTATTAAAAGTATAAAATAAATAAAAAAATATACAAAAAAATATTTATGTGTATCTATGCTAGTAACACAATTGAGCCACACGATGTTTGTAAATTTTTTGAGGGGGGGGTATACGCTATTAATTTTTGTTCAAAAACATTATTGATTATCAAAGTAATGATAACAATGAAATAATGATCCTAGATTTATGTATAAACTACTATAAGAGTAACATTGATTGATCAGAGCTTATTACAAGTGTCAACCATTATATATTTTGATCTATTGAATGAAATGGTAAACGTGTTTGCAATAAAATTTGGATGAATAAATTCAGGCAAGTAAAATAAAACTGTGCTTTAAAATTTCGTGGTTTTCTTTTGTTCTCCAATGACAGAAGTATCTTCAAATAATAATGTTTTAAATTTGACATATATTTTTATATTTCAACGGCATTTTTCAATTTCCAATAATCATTCACGTCTTTTCAACTTATAGCTTGCTTTCACTTTACTTCTTTGAGCAAAATTGCTTCTATGAAGAGTTTTCATTTTGTTTCATTACTGAAGTATTACATATTAAAGAAATAAAAGTTATCATGTTTGAATAAGTTAAATAAGAGTAACTTATACTCCCATCTTATTTACGAGAGAATTTATCCAATATATCTTAAAAACATTCACTTCGGCATAATTTTCTGTTTATCAGGAATTACTATACTGTTGTTCTTCTCACTTTCGGTAGCTCATATACTACAACATTAAGATAAAATATAAAAGAGATTTGAAATGCTTAAGTTTTTTTTTAATCTGATAAATAAACATATGCTTCTTTTCTTGTGAAGTAACTGAACAGATTAACTTTTCATATAATGACTAGATGATTTAACTATTTTCATACATTTGACAAGGCCGTTAAGAATAAGCATTAAAGTTCTTCTTAACTAAAACAAAACCTTTTTTGTTTTATACATAAGTAAATATATTTAGTCAAATAGAGTAGAGAGTATTTAGTATAGAATGATTTAAGAAACAATTAATGCTTAATATTTTACTAGCATTATTACAATCAGTTTATTCAATAAGATAAGGAACTTTTCTTTGACTTCAATAAAAAAAGAAAACAATTGTTAGTTCCAGTAGTCATTATACCGCAAACATAATCCCTATTGATTTTAATCTCCCTAACTAATGTTATTATTTATTAAAACAATGAAACATTTTAATTTTGTTAGTGAATGAATTAAATAATTTGAAATTGTATATAATCTAATTGATTAATCAGCTAAAACAAAATTTGTCCGTTTAACTTTTGGGGACAATAAATACAGTAAGGTTAATATTCTATTACTAAAGTATTAGGAGTATAAACGTATTATGTACTAGAGAAGATTAGAAAAGAAGTAATGTAATGGAAATGATAATATGTATGTGAATATAGGTAATAACAAGAAGGTAATAACAATTATAACGCTGTCTAAGTGTATATTCTTCAATTGTGCTGACAATAGATTCAGAGTTTCACAGATGTTCTCTCTCTGTTGCTTACCATTAAGCTTATATAAGTAGTAACCTAGTAACAGAAGTGTTAGTGAAAGGAAACAAAATAACCGATAAGCAAGGTGTATTTTAAGCAGAAACAAACGTAAAAAATATTAATATTTAGTTTTTAACACTGAGTATAAACAGAATGTCCTGTTCTGCTAGATTCCCAGAATTCACTTGATAAACGTCTTATTTTGTGATTTTATTTTGGAAATTTGAATTTCTTGTTTTCACGCCAGATGCACTCATTTGTACCGTCAGATTGTAGTTCCCACTTGGAATAACCTTAAATGTCATTGGTTCGTTCGCTCTTTTAATATGCTATTTTATGATATTTCTCAAGGATGTTTTTATGCAGTATACATACTCATGAGTTGTGGGCTTGTTGTTGTTCGTAATTCTGGCTGCTTATGCAATATACTTTCTCTCTCTAAACCTGAACTTCTCCATCTAGTTAACGGGGCTGGAACGCATCTGAAGGGTTAGCTTATCTTGTCATTTTATCTCTGAGCCTTCGTTCCGGTCTCTGATTTCGATGATCTCGTAATCTCTTCAAACATAGCGAGATCCCACATAAACAAATTTTACTAGAGATACTATAATACAAATTCGTTACAAATCTATTTTCACCATCACCAACAGTACGTTGAAAATTATAGACTGGTCAGGTACTTTGCCGACTAGTACTGAATTTTATTGAATTCAATGTATATATAAGAAAATTCATAGAATCGTTATGATAGAATGTAATTGATTTGTTGTTTACTTAATTCCAGATATGAAGTTGATAAAAAAGATTCAAAATCTTTCATGATAATAAAACAACTAAGAATGTGAAAATTATTAGCTCAGTCTGTTGAGATCATGATCAAAAGATTTAAATAAGGAATTTATGCATTCAGAAATATATTATTGTTATTATCAATCCTGTTTCTTTCCATAATTCTTTATGTGATTTACCTTCCCAATTGTATCTTGTTGTATTGTATCTTGTCAGTTGATCAATCATCCATTCTATGAAATATAACGTTGATTTTTCAATTCGTATTAACTTTTCTCACTTATTCTTTTTAGTTTTCTTCTCTTTGAGTATATTTATATATTTTAGAATACAACAAAAAGGATTCTTTCAATTCTTCTGCATTTATTTGGTTTTTTTGCAGTACTCATTATCAGGATCAACAAAAATTCTAATGAAAATGTTTCTAGAAATATTTACACTTATTTAGTTTTAAATAATGACTTATATTCTTTTTAGATTATAAACAACTGAAGTGAATCTTCACATTATAAATCAAATTCATTCTATTCTGCTATGATTGATTCTTCTTATTTATAACTATTTTCATTTTACTAAATATTAGAAAGTTTTTTTGTTTGTTTTTATTCTTAACAAGAATCTTTATTGTTTATATCTTATTTTTGCTTATTATTTAGTATAAACTTTTAAATAAACAAAAAAAGAAGGCGTACTCATGAAGAATGAATAGAACCTATTTGAATTTGTCTACTCATCCAATAACTTCAACAGTTGATAATACTTCATTGAATACAATGTCAACAACAAAAGTTCGTTTCAGTTCAAATTTATGTAATGATCATATATCGTCATCATCATCATCATTCAAAACAAATTCAAATAATTTATGCGATGCACCATCTTCATCATCATCAACTGGTGATTATTCAACATCATCTGAATTCAGTAGTACATCACATATTTTGAAAAACTTTACTATTGGTGATCGAGTTTTTTTAAGTAGAACAAAACAACATGGTACAATTGCATATATTGGACCAACACATTTTTCCGCTGAAGATCTTGTCGGTAAGTATGTATGATTCAATAACTTATAAAAATCATTCACTTTTGTATTTGTGATGCATGGATGGTCTTTTATTTGTATCACTTCATTGTTTTTTTGGGGCTTCTAATGTTTGACTAGGTATCATTCTTATTATGATTATATAAAGAAGCGTGATCAGTATTTGTTTACCGAGTGCTGTAACGAGCGTTAAATAAAGAATGACGTACTGACTGTCTTCAATTATTTCCATTATTAAGTTGTCCTTGAAAGTCTGGTTCGTTTATTTCTTGATTATCATGTCAATACATTATAGTTTCCAATATCTTACGTTTTAGAATTCAGTTTATTCATCTCATTTGTGAACTCTTGGGATGTTTCACTTCTATTTATTTACAATTTCTAACTTTGAATTAAATTTATAGAGTTCCAGTTCCTGGGTTAAGTATTTATCATTTTATTAACCATCACGATTCATATTTGATTAAATTTATTTTCATGTACTAGGATGATTGAGCAGATAGGTTGTTAAGTATGAAGTTGAAGCTTATCACAGTTTGGTTAAACAGGTGTTTTTTAAAAGTTTTAGTAGTAAGTCTTGACGTATGGAGTTAACTTAGTCTGAACTGAGCCAGTATTTCAGCTGTGAAACTAAGTAAATACTGAAACTCTGAATGTGAATCGTTTGATCTGTTCTCAGTGCTCAAACACTATTTTGCTGATTTCTTTTCCGGGTGCAGATATATGTACTCAGTGATATCAAAAATTCCAACAATGAAAAACAACAACTCAGTGCTTTCTGGTTTTTATTAGTTCCTGAGCTGAAGTCGACTGCTATAAAATTAATTTAATTCTGCTAAGTACGCTTCTTCCCAATATGTTTTGCGAGAAGAGATAGCTGTCTTAGACGACAATACTAAAACTACAAATGTTTCGTAGCTCTATTGTTTGTTTTGAGTTTATTTTTGGTTTTTTTTTGCTTTCAACTAATATAATGTAAACTTCTAACCACCTACTGGTACATTTTAATAAAACTAGCGCTTTGGTATATATATATGAACGGTTTGATTGCTTTCACTAAACTTCCACTCACACTATAGTAATAAAATTCGTTTCATATATGTTTCCAGTTCTTGATGGTGCTGAAATAACTTTTATCAATCATTCAGTTGTATACTCAGTATTTATTCGTTCTCGCTAGTTGTACCATGAGATTTTTTGTTTTCCTTTTCATAATAAAATATCTATGGTTTTTTCCAGATGTAAATAAGTTTTGGTAATTCAGTTCTTAAGAAATAAACAAACAACCGAAATATAATATTCGTTGAATGGCTATATACAATTGGCGGCATGTCATCAACTTAATTATTATGTACTTATTGTAAAAGTCTAGATAGTATACAGTTTCAGATTGCATTATTTATTAGAGATTGTGTACAGAATTTTATGATTGATCATTATGAGTAGATAAAACACAAGTTATAGCGTCCGAAATCGCATTTCTGAACCTCATTTGCTAATCGAATCTATTATTTATTACTGTTAACAGAAATCAACAAGGAAGATAATCTCGAAACAAGTAGATAATAATAACTATACCTGGAGAAAAAATTTAGAAATACTCTTTCTGTTACTGACCATTTAAAGGATCATATATTATTTTAGCGTTTGATCACTATTTAGGCATCCAATTATTATTATTCGATTGTGTGATATGCAAATCAAAGCATTTTACCAAAATACTGACAGTTTTAACTTTGCAAAATTTATCCATTACTTTATATTTCAAAGTATGCAATTCATAAATTTTAAAGACTTCAAAAAACTAAAAGGTGTTGCGGTAAATAGTTTGTCTATCCAATTACGATAAGACCTAAACTATATCCATTTTCTTCCACTATACTGAGCTTTATGTATTAAATCGTTTACTCTTTAAGTTTACTCAATCCTATGGAAATTCACATTTCAACAAGTAAGTATTGTTAAAAATTATGTTATAAAATGTATTTCAATGTTTTTAGTGTAGGTCAAGGTGTATATCCTGAGTATCTAACATATTTTAATGCCAGTTTTAGATTAGGACAATAGTCAAATGATAATTGCATATCATAAATGGCGAATTCTCTAAAGAGACAATTCATCTCTATTCACAAATTTCTATTCGGCATTTTTGTAATGTAAAAAGAAGTATGTGGATATTATCTGTCCAAAAGTTTTCATTTGTTTAGGCGTGTCTTATGTTTCGAACTTTTTTGAAAAAAAATTGTGAAATTTTATCTATTTTCTTTGTTCTTTTTCTTTTTATAAGAAAAAAATCACACAACAGTTTGATATTAAAGAAAAAGATTTGTTAAAATAATTAACCTTGAGTACGTCTAACTAATTAGTCTCTTGAGGATACAAAAGTCAGACTAAGCAAACAATGAAACATGAGTTTAAGGTGTATTTTAATAAGTGACATGTTAGATGAGACTTTGAAATGATTAGAGATGACCGATCAATGATAACTGGATTATATTTTGAAGATTTCCTCAACAAAGTACTGGAAAAGGACGTATCCAATTAAATTTACAGGTAATTTTACAAGATACGAAATTTTATTTGGGCTTCCTAACCGACTAACAAATGAGCAGCATAAATTCAGAATCTGTTGCTGTAGCTTAACACTATATGTTATGGATACAGAATAATGTGCCAGTCATTATCATGTTAAGCCTAGTGATGTCCTTGGACGTTAAATAGACATTTCCTATTGGCCATTATTTATTTCATCCGTTAAATATTGTACAAATGTTGTTTTCTATTGTTATGGTACGATGTGGTATGTCTGGTTAGTATATAAATAGCGTATGTCTGAAATACAATGATTCATATCTCAGAGGCTGTGACTTGTGTTCGGAACTCAACTGACTGGGCTAGACAGGGGAGCGAGACCAATTAGGGCTCTAGGCCGTCCGTACGTGTTTACGTGTCATTGGATCGATCGATAAATACGCTGCTCTCTAATTTTTCCAGTCAAGGACACAACAATTAGCACAGGGTAAAAATCGACTCAACTTAAAGTCATAACACTATATATGAATAGATAAGTAGGGTAAATGTTACTAGTCAGTTGATCAGGATCACTGTGTAGAAAATTTGTGTGGAACAAGTTCCCATGACATATTAGCACTGACTGCCGTAATCAGTGAATAAAGACAACCTTCTTTCTTCATTTTAACTGGTTAAGCTAATCGACAGTGGAGAAATGTAATACTGACTCAAACATTTGCACATATTAAATCAGGGAATGGTTTTAGTTAGACCACCTGAAGGTATTGGACGGCCGTTTCTTCCATGTAATGGGCTTTTCATCAGTGCGAATCTACACACCTGAACCCGACAATCGGACCCAGGACCTTTGATATAGCTCCAGATCATTAAGCGGCGGTCGTGGATGCTATCTGATGAGGAGTCACATACTGGGAAGAAACATCCATTTAGTGATCCCAGGTTTTCAACGGTCGTCTGACTAGGGAAAGTTTGTGATTTAAACTGTTAAAATACTATAATCCACAAATCCATTATACCAAAACGCTCATTAGAATCGTTTAGAAAATTGCTGATAACTCTAGGATTTTATTATGAACGTAATATTTAAAACATCACTGAACCAATGGGACAACCGGCATGTCCGATGATGCTGAAAACGAAGGGCCTATGATTTAGGGAGATTTACCTAATAAAAATACCAAACATAGTTTTTATTGCCTTAATCCGGTTTATCAATGGGTGAAATTCCATGAAACCTAAAATTCCACTAAATAAATTGAAAAATGATAGGTCTTACAGATTAGTTCTTTAACTATCAATCAGTAAGCACATAAATTAGTTCATTTCCGTTTTTGCATAGTTGCCGCTGGTCGGAGTACCTAAAAAAGCAATCTCAACTATGATATGTATTTGAAGGCGTTAGTTAAACACGAAATTATTTACTAAACCAAAACGCCTCTTTCTTAAAAACAAATTGCTAAATGAAAAGTTCCCAATCAAAATATTTTTATTTTCATTATAGCTTAGTTTTATTGTGTTTGCTGTGAAATAAACAGTGATAGATCAAGGGAATTAAGATCAGATAGTGTATAAAAGTGCATGTTGATTTTTTAGTACATTTATAAGAATGGTATCTACTTAAATAGTAAAAGGAAATAGCAAGCGTGATTTAACCGATAGCTGTCACTCGCGATTTCATTTTTGAAACTGTTCAGTCATTAATATACACAACCTCTTAAATAAAACAATCTATTCATCTTTATCGACATCAATAAAATATTAAATAAAATGTGGAGGATCTTGGATTTCTTCAGATTCGTTTTTGACTTCAGCACTAAGATTAGCATCCTGTAGTAGATCTATATTTTACAAATAGCCTTAAGGAAAAACTTCTAAAAATTGACTACTTTGATTCATGTTTATCAATTTCCTTAGATCAGTGGAAGCAGGTTCATTTCTTCGTTTATGTACTTTTAATCTAATAGGGCTTAACGGCATTGATCCATTTAGTGGGTAAAGACAGCCTGTAAGTCCATGATAAATGCAATAACTGTACAAACTCTTAACACTTACTATGCAATTAAAGAGTCTCGTCTGCCAAATACAATGTTTCCTCGTCGTCTATTCATTACTGGACATTTTGCTAAGCACACGGATAAACTTAAATTATATACTTTAAAGTAACTTAACCTATCTTCTTGTTATGTGGTAAATCATAACTCATTTTCTCTCTAACCAATCCATCAGTTCCCCCTCTTTTTACATTGGTCTGCTATTTACATTTGACGAGTTAATATCATTGGAAAATTCATCCACACAATATGATAATAATATATTTACAAATGTTTGGTAATTATTTTCTTACTGTTTGGGACTTGTTACAAACATTTCATTTTCGAAATAGTAGCTGTTGAAAAACAAGCAACACTCTAGTATAGATTAAAAAAACTCAAAAATTTATCACAAAACATCTTTAACCCTCCTTAGTGAA